CTATCCTATCGTTCAGCAGCTTACAGAACACTTTTCGTACTGTGTTCACCAGTGTGATCCCCCTGTGGTTTCCTGGGTCGGTCTTGTATCCTTTCTTAAACCAATTCACAAAAACTCCTTCCCTCGTGCTACTTGGCGCATAGACTACTCGTTTTTCCGCACCCAATTGTACAGCAGTACCATCAGCTGGATCATCCCCTTCCCCCAAAACCTCATGAACTCGTTGACCATCCCATCCGCTCCTGCTGCTTTGTGGGCACTTCAGCATATTCACACACGCCTCAACCTCGTCCTCAGTGAACTCTNGTTGTATAGCGCTACTATCAGCTGGATCATCCCCTTCCCCCCAACTTCATGAACCCATCCGCTCCTGCTGCTTTGTGGCACTTCAGCATATTCACACACGCCTCAACCTCGTCCTCAGTGAACTCCTTTTCTAGTTCTACGTTCCCAACGTCTGCCTTCGATGTGTCTTCTTCTTTTGGATCCCATGCGTCCACCTCCTTCTTGAACACTTGGTCCAAAGCTTCATTCTCCGAAGGAACTCCAAGTCTCTTGTGGTGTCCTGCTAGAACTTCCCTTTCTCCCTTCCCACTGCTGACTAATCCACGGTTCACACCTCGCAAAGTTGCTACCCCTGTATCCCCCCCGTGCGCGGTCATTTTTACCATTCCACTAATCTCTTCCCACATCTGCTTGACGTTCCCGTCCAGGCCTCCACGACGAAGGGGATGACAAAAATCGAATGTTGTGTTTTCGGAAAGCTCTCGAGGGGACGGTTTCAACGCCGCCATTTTCGGCACCGTCACTCCTTCTACAGTGTGGAGTAATCGAACTTTTGAGAATCGATCGAGGGGATGATGTATTTTGTGTCACAAACGGTATCCGCCAAACGCTGCACACCACCCCAAAAATCAGTAAACACGATGAGTGAGGGCTTGGATGGGCTGGTGTGCGGTTCGATGACGCCACGCCCGAGAGAAACTAGTATCCCCGGGACGTATTTGCTTGGTGAAGGTTGTTTGCGGTTGCTGCCCAAGGGTGAGAGAGCTTGGGTGGGGTCGTGTGCAGCAGTGTGGTGCGAGGTCACGTCCGGACCGCATCTGCTGTGCGATAACGCGACAGCAGCCAGTACGACAAAGCAAAAAATACGATGTATGAACATGCGCCCCCACCCCAAACACGCACGCGCGCCTCCCATCCACCGTTGTTTGCGGGGTGCTCGGTAGAGTACTGATCTACGGGGCCTCTGAGGGTGTGTGTGTGTTACGTGGATGATATTTATGGTTGTAATGGACATGGCGCGCGGGGCCCCTCATGCCTCCCTCATATACGTCACAATCTCTGAGCAACAAAGTTCCTGGGGTAACCTTCGTTCTCGTTCGGCCTCGGACTGCCTACAAGCAAAGAAAGTTTTAGGAAACATACCCACGATCAAAGAGACACTACCCGTTCGAGGTGTAACCAACAGCAGCCTTACGACCAAAAAGTACCAGACAGGAGGCACGCAGATCCTAACCCTAACCCTAACTCCAACGTAGCCGATTCTAAACTTTTCCAGTTACTATTTGCTCACCGGGTGCTTGGAAGAAAACAAAATTGCATGGACTACCTCCGACGAAGATGCTGCTGCACACAAACAACCGTCCCGTCGCTTTTTCATGCGCGTGGCGCTCCCTCCGAGCAGGGCATCCAGATGTACAACCTGTCCTTCGACCAGATGGCCAAGACGCTGTTTCGCGGCGAGCGCACCCAGAAGCAGCTCAAGAAGAAGTTCGAGAAGGAGCTTCGGAACCACCCGGAAATGGTGCATCGCGCCCTCAGGACCCAGATCAACAAAGGTGAGGCGACCGTGGGGGCGGGGGGCACCGGGCGGGGGGCTTGCTCATGTTCGACATGCCTTAGCAGGTAGCCCGTTGACCACGCGTCCTCGAGAGGACGGAGGGGGTTGATCTTAGACGCGGGCGGATGATCCACCACGTGCTCATATCCATATGAATATGTAGCGCCGATACTCTGCTGTTCTCCGGGGCCTAGATCACTGCACGTACGACCTCACTTCAAGAATACCTGGAGTGGCGGGGGGGACTGATCAGGCATGAGTGTTGACACCCGACCGAACTGTCCCAGTGATGAGCGAAGAAGAGGGCTCGGGTGTCTTTCTCTCTACGTTGGTGACCACCCCCAGTCTCCACGTCTCCACCCAACCCACACACGTCCCACCGCAAAACCATGACAGAGCCGAGGGGTGCAAGGCTCGCGCACCAGTCAGTCGTGCGCGCCGGCACCGGCAAAAAAAAATACTTCGTTGTGAACGCACGCGCTGAGTTATACTTGTCATCTCTCCCCCCCTCCCTCCCTTTTTCCCGCTGTGACCCGTTCATCGCGTGGGAACATGAACAGACCACCCTTACTTCTCGAAAGATCCGCCGCCGTTGCCTACCTTCGAGCCCGAACCGAAGGAAAAGGTCCGGAAGACTAGGCAGGGCGCCAAACGAAAAGCAGCAGCGGGCAAAAGTGGAGCAGCAGCAGTGGAGCAGAAGGGCGGCGGGCCGCCGGCTGCTGGAAAGAAAACCTCCCCCTCCTCCTCCTCCTCCTCCTCCTCCTCCTTCTCCTCCTCTTCCTCCTCGACGAAACCCAAGGGCAAGGGTGGCCCCGGCAGCTCCGCTGCTGCCGGCGACGCTGCTCCCGGCGCTAGCGATGGTGATGGTGATGACGAGGTAGACGGAGGTGGGGGAGAGGGAGAGCAGCCCCCGGCAAAGAAAAGAAAGAAGCGGGCCCGCGGCACGGCGGCTGCCGCCGCCGCGAGAGAACGGCGAACGGCCGCCACCGCCGCCGCCGCCGCCGCCGCCGCCGGAAGGACAGGTTCCGCCGCTGCTGAGGAGGAGGGAGGGGGGGGCGGTGGATGTGGCGCAGAGGAGACGGGGGGGCTAACGAGGGAGAGGCGGCCGTACCGCGCGGTGCGCGACCACTCCCTCGTGGCCGCCGCCGCCGCTGTTCATTCCGATGACGAAGGTGGGGCGACGGTCACTGAAGACGAGCCAGAAGAGAGCGACGTGGAGGAAGGGAGCGGAAGCAGTGAGGCTGGCGGGGGCAGCGATGAGAGGAGCGTGAAGGCCGCTCTTGCCGCTGCTACGACGACGGTCGCTCGGAGCGGCAGCGGCGGCGTCAAGCGGATACGCGGCGACGCCATCGCCGGCACCACCGGCGAGCGGGACGATGACGGGCCAACTCCCCCGCGTGCCGGAAAGAGACCAAGAGGTACAAGCGCGCCGACCAACGAAGACGGCGGCGGCGGTGGGTCAACCACGAGTCGGAGCGACGGCTGCCGTGAGTCACGACGAGAGGAGGGGGATGAGGCCGACCTCGACGCGCGTGCCAACGGCGCTGCGAGGGCGGCAGGAGAGCAGCAGCGGGAAGAGGATGGAGTGGACGGTCCCAGGATGTCGGTGTCGGCACGCATGCCCGGGAGGTGGAGATAGCCAGGGGGGGGGGGGGGGGGGGAGGGGGCAGGATGGGGGGTGATGAGCCAGCGGTACCGGCCGGAGGGGGGGGCTCACAGCTGTGGCCTAGACAGATAATGGCCACAGCGGATAAGAATGTCGTCCTGGACAGCAAGCAATTCTCTCGTATGCCCTTGTTGCAAGTAAGAGTTGGTTGTTTTTTGCCTATAAAGCGGTTTGCACGGCGATCGGGTGGTGTCGGAGCATGGGACATCGCACCCTTTTTATGTGTGGCCGAGGTACTGCAGAGCGAGCACACACGGCGGTTGTTGGGGCGAGGGCGAGGGTAACCTGTCCGCTGTTAGCCGCAGGTGTTGGCGTCGGTAGCAACGCACGCGCTCGTCTCGGGGTGTGGAGACCGAGCAAATACGTGCGTACCTCTGTCGTTTCGCTCCAATCCTGAATCTGGTCATGGGTGGGTGTCATTGCCATCGCTCGCCCTTCGAGGGGGTTCGCTCTACTACGCGATTTTGCCAATCTACGGCACACCTTGCTTTGGTATGTGTGTGTGGTTTTTTTTATGTGTGTGTGGGTGGGAATCGAGAACAGTCTGGATTGGATGGGTTTGGCCGCGTGTCAAAATCAACATGTACAGACTCTTCCATGATGCACACCCATGATGCGGGGAGGTTTCAGTTCGTGTGGATGGACAAGGATTGGTAGGGGGGGGCACAGAGGGCAGCCTTCCTTAATGACAGGCGACTCGCCCCGGGACCCTTAATTCTCAAGTTGAGGCAAGCTCCAAGTACTCAACTAGACTGCGGGGGACAACGGACGGGGAAAGGGG